AGTAGCATTTTATGGTCTTATGGTTTTCTTCTTTCTTTTTTCTTTTTTTAATTTAAAAATATTAACTTTTAACTGCAGAACATTCAAACATAACTTGATAATTGAAGCATGCAGTTATTGCAAAAAACATCAAGATGCATGATGCACTACTGGATGTTCTTTGGTTTCTTACTAATCAAAATAATTCTCCCAAGTTGGTTTTACTTTCAGTAATTCACATTGATATTTATAAAAATGTGATATGCAAACAAAGTGTAATATGAAATGATTTGTTATGAATATTGGCTTTTATTCCTGATATACTGGCATCAAAATCATATATTTTTGTATTCAAATTACCTTCTTGCCTTGAAATTGCTGAAGATTAACTTCATAAAAATTTGAAATAGTTTCTACACTTTTATTTTCCAATCAGATTCTGAGGTATTTATGTTTTTTGTGAGAAGTATTTTTAAAGAAATTTTCCAACGATGATTGAGTCTTCTGAACTCCATAACTCTTTGAATTTATCGTTCTTCAATATATTTATATATACTCCCACAAGAACCCACAAATTATTTCAGGCACAACTGTGAAAAATACTGAAAATGAAGCACATGATGCTTACAGACTTATGTCAGGTAAGATTACAGTAGCATGTGCCAGTCAAGTTTTTGTTTGCAAAATGAACACCACCTATAGGAATCATTCCCATCAAATGAGCATCTTTTTTGAACGCCTATAGAGTTGATCACAGTAAAATAGCTAAGGGGCTATGGATGTTTAAGGTTACGTGGATCATTTTTATTAATGCTGGAGTCTAACTATAGGTGTGTCAAATCATCCAAACAGGCCTATTAGGTAAGTTTTTGTCCCTCCTTCCTTGCTCTCTCCCCTCCCCATTGATTTCCTCTGAGTTTTACTTTCATCTGTGAACAAGTATACTCACTGGTTAGTTCCAGTTTGATGGCAAATACATGTAGTATCTGTTTCTCTATTCTTGAGATACTTCACTTAAGAAGAATGGTCTCCATTTCCATCCAGACTGTTGCAAAGTTATTAATTCATCATTTTTGTGTGGTATGCATACATCACATTTTATTAATCTGCTCATGAATTGAAGGGCACTTGGGTTGATTCCACATTTTTACAATTTTTAATTGTGCTGCAATAAACATTTGAGTGCCAGTGTCTTTTTGATAAAAAGTCTTCTTTTCCTTTGGGTAGATACCCAATAGTGGGATTGCTGGATTGAATGGTAGGTCTATTTTAGTTGTTTGAGGAATCTCCATACAGTTTTCCATAAGTGTTATACTAATTTATAGTCCTATATACAGTACACAAGGGTTCCTTTCTCTCTACATCCTTGCCAGCATCTATTGTTTTTGGACTTTTAAATAAAGCTTTTCTAATGGATAAGGTGAAAGCTTGTTGTGATTTTTGTTTGCTTTTCCCTGATGATTAGTGATGTTGAGCATTTTTTCATGTGTTTATTGGCCATTTGTCTTTCATGTGTTTAGTCCACTTTCTAATAAGGTTTTTTTTTCTTGCTGATTTGTTTGAGCTCTTTGTAAATTCAGGATCAGGATATTATCCTTTTATTGGATGTGTAGCTTGCAAATATTTTCTTCCATTCTGTAGGTTGTGTCTTTTCTCTCTTGATTGCTTTCTTAGCTGTGTTCTTTGTTCTCTTGATTGTTTTCTTAGCCATGCAGAGGTTTTTAAGTTTAATCAAAACCCAGTTATTAATTTTTGCTATTGCCATGGTTGCCACTGGTGTCTTAGTCATACAATCTTTGCCTATGCCAACATCTAGAGCAGTGGTTCTCAACCTTCCTAATGCTGTGACCCTTTAATACAATTCCTCATGTTGTGGTGACCCCCAACCATAAAATTATTTTCATTGCTACTTCATAACTATAATTTTGCTGCTGTTATGAATTGTATGTAAATATCTGATATGCAGGATGTATTTAGGCAACCCCTCTGAAAGGGTTGTTTGACCTCCAAAGGGGTTGTGACCCACAGGTTGAGAACTGCTGATCTAGAGGAATTTTTTCTGTATTTTCCTCTAGAATTCTTATGATTTCATTTCTCAGATAAGTCTTTTATACATCTTCAATTTTTCTAAGTGGTAAGAGGTAGGGGTCTTGTTTCATTCTTTTGCATGTGGCTATTTAGTTTTCCCATTTATTAAACAGGGCTTCTTTTTCTTAGTGTACATCATTGTCTGCTTTTTGAAGACCATTTGGTTGTAGGTAGATGGTTTTATATCTGGGTTCTCTGCTCTGTTCCATTGGTCTATGTCTCTGTTGTTGTGCCAATATCATGCTGTTTTGGTTATTATAGACTTATAGTATAGTTTGAAGTCCAGTAATGTTAAACCTGTTTTTGCTAAGACTGCTTTGGCTATCGTGCTCTTTTCTTATTACAAATAAAGCATATTTTAAAGCATTTTAAGTATAATGTTGGTAATTTAGTGGGGATTACACTGAATTTGTAAATTAATTGTCTTGTTCCAGTTCTTAGGGAGCATGCTTTCAACTTCTCCCCATTCAATTTAATGTTGGCTGTAGGTTACTTAAATGTGGCTTTTATAATTCAGAGTTATGTTCCTTCTATGCCTGGTTTGTTGGGATTTTAAACTAGGCATAGAAGGAACATAACTCTGAATTATAAAAACCACATTTAAGTAACCTACAGCCAACATTAAATTGATTTTTCTTCTCATTATAGGTACTTTCTTTCTGAAAGTTCATGTATCTCCATTATTTGGAGATCTGCCACTGGTGCCTTATTTCTTTTGTGAGGCCATGTTTTTCTGGATGTTCTTGATGTTTGTGGATTTTCATCAATGTCTGGGCAATGAAGAGTTATGTATGTATCCCAGTTTTCACAATATGGGCTAGTTTGTACTTATTCTTCTTGGGAGGCTAAGAGGGAATGACTCTTGTGTTCTAAGCCTGTGGTCACTGCAGCCACATTAATAAGGAGGTATCCTAAGTCCAATAATGCTGTGTGATTTCTTGCCTGTTACTACAGGTATAGAGGGCTGAAGTGTTGCTTTTTATGAATGTGCCTTTTTGTATGCATAGTTATTCAATTTGGTGTTCTTTTCAGGGGATGATCTCTGGAGGGTTCTATTCAGCCACGTTATTCTGCCTTCCCAAAATTATAATCTTAGGTAGTTTCCATTCAAATTTACTAATCTTCAATGTATGAATATTTTTAAAAAATTTCTAGATTTATATAGATAGATTGATCTTTGATATAGCTGCTTAAGATGCTCAATCTGCTCTTTACCTTCCTTAACATATATGATATAATATAATACTTTAAAATCTCTGTTTATTTCTAGCTTCTGTTTAATTTCTGGGACTGTTACTATTTATTGATTTTTCTTCTCATTATAGGTTATAATTTTTTGTTTCTCTGCATGTCTAATGAATGACATACCTTTTGAATTTTACCTTTAATGCTAGACGTTTTTTTACTTGCAAAATTATTCTTAATCTTTGTTTTTGTATGCAGTTATGCAGAAATAGTTTCATCATTTTGTGGCCTGGATTTTAGCATTGTTAGGCAGGATCAAAGCAGTCTTTATCCTAGGGATGAATTTTTCACTGTACAGAAGCAATATTCTTTTGAGTACTTGCATGATGCTATGTGAATTCTGTGGGTTTTTACTCTGGTTGGTGGGAACATGAAAAATTCTTGGCCCCAAATAAACTTTCTGTACCTTTGGTTTATTCTTCCTAGATTTATTCTTTAAGAAGGATATTGTTTCATTCTCAGTTTGTTCTTTTCCCAGTCTCATGTAGTTTCTTAAAACCTACTTTCTGAGCAGTACTTAGCTAAAGATTCAGGGAGGACCTTCTTGCAGATCAGTAGAGCTCTTTTTATGTGTTACTTTTTCTTCTTTGCTACTCTATCTTGTGAACTTAGTTGTCTCTTGGTCTCTCCAGGCACTTAAGTTCTACCTCATCAAATCAGTGAACCTGCTTGATTTCACCTGCATTATCTTATATCCCTGTTTCCTGACAACTCTCTCCAAGTTGTAAGCTGAGGCAGTCATAAAGAGTACTTCATATTTTTCTCTGTCTTTTAGGGATTACTGTCATTCCCTACCTGATATGTAATGTCTGAAGATGGATATTACATAAACTTTTCTAGATTTTAATTTTTTATATAAGAGGGTAAGTCTGACCCCTGTTTCTTCATTATGACTGAAAGTGAAAGTGCTCGTGTAATTTCTACCTTTATAGAGGTCAATGAATGATAAATAAATACACACATATATATTAGGTATAGAATATGTAACTGAGCATAAGTTATATGATTTTCATTTTTCTTTTTCCCTGTCCCTCCAATTTTCTTTTGTCCTCTTCTCTCCCTCCCTCTCTTTCATATGTGTTACTTAACTTTCTTTACATAATATAGATAATGACATATAATACTATGTTACTATTTATTTTCTAGTATATCTTTGCCTTTTTATTTTATTTATATTTTCTTTCATGTAGATATTTTATGTTAAATACTCAGATATATCGATATGTTTCTTTCTGATCTATGGGTTTTAAATCATATTTAGAAGGTTTTATATATGCCAAGATTATCAAGATATTTATTAAATATTTTAGCTAATCCTGTGATTCATTTATTACATTAAAATCTTTGACTCATTTTGAATTTATTTTCATGAAAGGAGCATTTAATCAGTTAAACAAATCTCAAATCAAATAAAATGTATTTGGATTCCAAATTCTTGTTTTTCTTCATGGGGAAAAAGATGCTACTTTTCAAATCCCTTAGTGTCATATTTTTATTCAAATGGCTGCAATATTAAATATCTGTGCTATATAATTTGATTTGCATCAGCTAAGACTAAGATTTTTCAACTCTATTTACAAAACTAAGAATAATAAAAACCAGAAAATCCATTGATAAATTAATTTCTCCTTTGCTCATTATTATTGTGCTAATTAAAATGTTAGAATCCTTGACTTTTATTATATTAGACTTGGGAGACCTGGTGTTGATTGTTATTGCCAACATGAAAGTGGTGCAGCTGTCCTGCAGCTTCAATTTTTGATCAACGAGGTAAGGATTTTTTGACAATTTCAAGCACCTTCCCACAATAGATTGTATTAATTGACATAATCTTTTAATATTATGATTCTAAATGCTTAAAACATATACCTATATAATGCAGTATTATTCACTTTTATATAAAGTATTGTACTCCTGTATTTGTCACTTTGTTAAATTTTAAAGGAAAAAGATTATTAGTTGTTAGATACTGTTATTGTGACTATATAACATACTTTAGATTAATTTTTAATTGTTTTTAAACTCAAAGTCTTTTGATTTCTTCACTGGCCATTAAATTTTTCTTCTATCCACTAATCTCCCACCAACTTAAATTTTGTAACCCAGCCTTAACTATGTATTGTCTTTATTTTCATGCAATAATCTTTTCACTTATTTACCTTAGAACCTTTTTATCTATATATATCTCCAAGTGCATTTGTTCATATATGTATGCATTTTTATTTAATTTCATATACATAGCTATTATAGCAATTAGATGTCTCTTCTGTCCATATTTTCACAGAACTATGGTGATGAGGCACTCCCTAACAACAAAATATGTATCTGTGAAGCTTAGAGAGATTACAGGTATTCCATTAATTGAAAGCAACTCAAGGTCATCTTAAATCATGTTTTTATAGTGAAACTTGGAGTCTTTTAGGGTTCTTTTAGGTTAAGTGAACCTGTCAATACAAAAATGCTTTAAAATTTTGTGCTATGCCAAATTCAGGCACTTAGAAGATAAAATTTAGTGCCTTGGAAATAAAGTTGGTTGTTTTCTCAAAGCAGGGCAATGATTTTTTATCCACCACCTGCACATATCTATATATCTTTCTAAAAAATTTACAATTATACATGTGGATAAAATGGCTCATAGAGCTTTATATCATAGATACCTGAGGCGAGAAAAAATTTTGATATTAGCAAATGTCCATTTATCACTTATCTTGGCTCAAAAATCCTTCTCAGAGGACTGTGAGATACTCCTATGAGCCAAACCTAAATTATTTCCACCTTGTAAGCACACTTGCTATAGGGTACCAAAAAGAGAGATGGGTAAAGAATAAAACAAAAATATTTTTAAGTGTTTTATTGTAATATTTAGACATTACTATCTAGAACAAGCGTCCTCAAACTATGGCCCGCAGGCCACATGCAGCCTGCCTAGGACATTTATCTGGTCCGCCAGGTGTTTTTGCCACCACTGCCTGTCCTGCTTAGCAGCCAACTCGTCCCAGGGCCCACAGTCTGGCCCTCCAACAGTCTGAGGGACAGTGAACTGGCCCTCTATTTAAAAAGTTGAGGACCTCTGATCTAGAAGGTCAACCTTTTTGAGGTCTTAGTGCTACTTAGTAATTCCCAGCTGAAGCATTTCAGCCTTTTGTCTTTGCATAGATGTTTATTGAAAGTCATAATTTTGTTCTATGTGATTTGCACTGAGTCTGATTCTCTGAGATTTGTCTTCAAGGCTCTAAATTTGTCTCTGTGCTACATAACTAGGAATGAATAAAGACGAACCATCAGACTCCTTGCTTTGTTCACATCATCTATCCTGAACTATTCATCTTAACCCACCTCACCCTTAGCTTCTGTGTCTTTTCCCAAACTTCATAACTGGTGTTTCTATTCACAATTATAAATATTTTCACAGCTTTTAGATGTAGTGCTTTGGGTAGGTTAACTTTGCTTTTGTAAGTGAACACTAGACAAGTTGTGTACTCACTTTCATGTGTGTGGTCTGGTGTCTATTGCTATTATGCTTATTAGCTCTGTTCACCGTCTTCCAGTGGTAAGTTATTATCCCAGTTTAGTATAGCATTATTACTAAATTCCTCCCTATATTTATTAAGGTTTTATACTAATAGAGTACTGAATATATGTTGCTTTATTTTAACTCCATTGTCTTTGGCGTGTTTTATATTTTGTATAACATATGACTATCTCTTGTAGAGAATGTTTTATTACTGTTATATATCATGCTTTATTTTAACTATATCTCAAGTGAACTTCCACCTTTCTGAGAGATGAAATCAGTATCTTGTATCTCAGAAGAAATCAATTGTAGTTTATATGCTTCCACGCAATTCTAATAACTTTCCAGTTTGCAGACAGTAGAGAATACAAATAAAACAAGCAAATAAACACAAAAATCCTCAGCATACATTGCGACATCTTATTGCATGGTATGAAATTATCTGTGAGTTCATGTTAAGATGTAAGTATCTAGGCATACCTTCTCAAACATGCATATTTGCACAAGTATACATAAACTTGCAAATTATATTTTTTTTCATATTAATGGATAAACTCTTGGGTTATGATTATATATTTATAAAGCTATTCCTCTCTGAGATTAAAATCATAGGTACACGGTATAAAGAGAACAATTATGGGATACATGAGCATTTTGGGTCCAGGAATTGTTATAAAAGGATATTTTTCTTTGGTCTTCTAATTCCTAAAGGAGAAATACAGTTCTTACTAGAATCTAAATGGAATAATTATTTTTAGATCTTGTATTTAAGTTGTAAGCTATGAAAGATTACTTAAAACAAAGTCCTTGAGAAAATATGAAAAGCATTTTAGGTATCAGGACCACCATGGTTCTGTAAGATCACTTTTAGAGAACGCATTCACTGCTCTAGCTTAAGGCTATGCATATGTCATAGCACAAGCATTGACATTTTCAGCTGGGAAACTATCATTATGGTGAAAGTTCTGACATTTTAAGGTGATCTAAATTAACTTAGTGAAATAAATAATTTTACCATATGCATAAAGTCATACATGGCATTTACCTGTCTACATGCTTTTCTCCTATTTTAAGAAGTAGGAAATAGTGTATTTGAAATAGGATTCATTTTTATTTAGTGGTGATGTATAAAGAGAATCATTATCATTTTTATAGTTATATTGAATTATAGTTGGATAAATGTTTTATGGTTTATCTTATAATAGATGAAGCTTCTTAGACCATAAGAAGCAAATTAAATTATACCGAATATACTTTCTTGGAAAGATTTTATGCTTTCCAATCATATCGAAAATTCTTTAAAAAAATTTTTATATGAACTGTATTCAATTTATAAAACTAGGTTGGATATTTGCTTCTTTTTAAAGCTATATACTATATGTGTGAATAGTAGAAACAAAAAAAATTTACACTTTATTTTTCCCAAAGAAAAGCCTTTTTACTCCTCTCTGTTGTAAATGGATAGTCCTTCTGCTAGTCATCCTGATCATCCAAATGTTGTAGGTCCCTTGTCTCTCTTACTTTCAGTATTCTTAACCTTCCCAATTGAAGTATATGCAACTGTCCTTTCTTATATTTCTAGGTTATATAGACAAATAACTCCTCAAGCAGTGGAAAATTTAGTAAATTAACTTGTTCCTGCTTCAGAAAAACTGTAAATTAATAAATTACATACTTCATCTTCTTTTTGTTCCAGGGTGCTTTGGTCAGTGCAAATTCAGATGATACACTTCATTTGTGGAATCTTAGACAAAAAAGGCCAGCTATTCTTCATTCTCTTAAATTTAACCGGGAACGGTAAGAACATATGTTAAACAATTTCTTAATATATAGCAGAATTATTTCCCAAGCCAGTTTTAAGTTAATTTGACAGAATTTATTTTTCATAATCTCAATAACTAGAAATAATTAAATATTTATGTTTGTCTTTATGATAATCTCTTTTCATAGAAAATTGATAGTTGATATAGAGTCATCTACTAATGGTGACATCACAACATTTTGTTCTCCCAGCTATAAACAAACACTTCAGCAATAACATTCTTTCCCCTGGTCTATGATATTAAAAACTCAGACCTAAAATTTAAAAGTCAAATAAATAATGAATATATTTCTTCACTCTTGATCATAACAGTTACCTTATAACTATGCTGACTTTTTTACTTAAGTATGTTTTTATATTAGAGAAAACACTGAGTCAAAAATTTTAGATATCAAAAAAGAATGGTGGTACTAACTGTTGAGCAATACTAAACATTCAAGATTAATACTTTTAAAGGTGATTATTTGATCAGAATTCAAATCCCCCCACTTTAGAAGGAAATATCAGTGATACAAGAGAGGAAATTATATGAAAACATATGGGACAAGTTATTCGATTTTATAAACTGTGCCACATTTTAATCTTTCTAATGTTGGATTTAACCAGACTTAGAACATGACACACATTGACTAAAATGAGAATCCACTTACAGAAGCAGTAGAATTTTTTAAGTTAGCTATAAAATAATCATGTATTTGTTCATTGTTTAGAAAATAAACTCTTTGCAGTGAACAAGAAGGAACATCACAGAAAATTTTGATATTAAATAAAAAGAAAAACCTCTGAGAAGTAAAAATTTACACACTTGACTGACTCAAGTACCATTAAAACTAAGGAATCACCAAAGTGAACAATGGAGGCAAGCAGTCATTGGCCTAAAGCATAAGATAGTGTTCATTTTGTTTTGTTGAATGGTAATTGTTGAGAAGGAATCATCACTATATGAAGTAAACTTCATTTTATAAGTGCGGGGGAGAAAGTAGAAGGCTGCTATGCAGATATTTTTTCCTTCTGATACAGGGTGTGTTTCAGTGAAGGGAAAAAATCCCTTTAAATTCCTCAAGTGGGTTCTTGGCTTCCCATATGCAAGAATTTAAGAGAGGGCCAACTAGGGGTTGGAAAGTTTATTAAGAGACAGATAATAGATCCTATTCCAGAGTTGGACTCCTTTCCTGAGTAGGAGGGGACCAGGAAAGGAGTGGTCAGGCCATAAAGGTTAATCATAAACTGTTGTCACAGAAATGTAAGCACAGAGAGTTTGTAAGGCATCTGGCTTATTAATTTACCCATCCTTGGGTGATCCCATGTCTATGACTTGGTGACTCATTTGTTTGGGGTGGTTAGGGTCTGGTATTGGTCAAAATGTCTATATTCAAGTATTCTTAATTGTCCTTTTCTGCCTTTCCTTAGATTACTTCTACCTTTAGCCTTTTCTTTTTCTTCATGTGCATAATATACTATCTAAATCATTAACCCTCAATATTCTGAGTAATATTTATGAGTATTATATCTCAATATTTTAGGATTTAGCATCAGTGGACTTTTTTAATATCCAATATTTTTTAGGAAGAGATGAGTTTATATTTTAAACATTTCTAAAAGTAGATAGAGCATTTTTAGGCCTAATTTAGATGATTTTATTTAAAAATTTAAGATAAGTAATATAGTAGAAATGCCAGATACTGAAAAATTTTTAGATCAGTTAAGAGTTGTTATACTGTTCCTTTATTTTTACCACTAAAAATGTTATATTATGCATTTGGATTACCATACTGATTTTATCCATCTTTCTGCTGGTAAGATTTATTTTTGCTTTGAGTAGATCTGACCCTACATTTATGTGTGAATGGACATAGTGATTTTTTATTTTCTATCACAGTTGGAATATTGAAGGTGTTAAGATAATAGAAAGAAGCAGAATTCAGTTTAAAAACTTTATTTAAGTAAAAAAGGTGGAATGATCATTTGAGAAATTTAGATTCCAGAGAAATAAGGTTGATGTTCTAAAGTTAAGTTCTTACCTATGTAAGAAGAAAACAAAGAAGCTTAGTAGGATTATAACATTTTATATACAAGACTGGTTTATGAATTACAACTATTTAATTATAGTCTATTTTCTTTTCTGTAAGACTTTTCATTTTCTTTTCAACTTAAAAGGCTTATATTAGAGTGCTACTGATTTATGAATATTGATTTTGTAACCTGAAACTCTTCTGAATTTATTTATCAATTCCAGAAGTCTCTTGCCAGAATCTTTGGGATTGTCAAGATATAAGATCATATCATCAGCAAAGAGTGATAGTTTTATGCCTTCTGTCCCCAAATGGATACCTTTGATTTCCTTCTCTTGTCTTCTTGCTGTAGCTAGGACTTCCAGCACTTTGTTTAATAGAAGTGGTGACAGTAGGCAATCTTGTCTGGTTCTAGTTCAGTGCAGTTTCAGCTAAATTTTTCCCCTTTGAGTACAGCACTGGCTGTGGGTTTGTCATATGTGGTATTGATAATTTTAAGATATGTTACACCAGGCCTATTTTGTTAAGAATTCTTATCATAGAAGGCTGCTGAATTTTCTCAAAATGCTTTCTCTCTGTCTATTGAGATGATTATATGACCTTTGCTTTTGCTTCTGTGTATGTGGCAAACCACATTTATAGATTTGTGTATGCTGAACCATCCTTACATCTTTTGTGAGCCCACTTGGCATGGTGAATTATTAGTTTTATGCACTGCTGAATTCGGTTTGCTAGAATTTTTGGAGAGGTTTTGAATCAATATTCATAAGGAATATTGGTCTGTATTTTTGGTTGTGTCCTTTCCAGGCATTGGTATCAAGGTGATATTGACTTTGTAGAATGAGTTGGGAAGGGTTCCTTTCTCCTCAGTGGTATGAAATAATTTCTGCAGTACAGGTACCAGTTTCTCTTTGTAGGTCTGGTAAAATTTGACTGTGAAACCCTCTGGTCTGAGTTTTTTCATTGGAAGATATTTTATTGCTGTTTCAATTTTGGTGCTTGATATCTGTCTGTTCAAGAGTTCTGTTTCTTCCCAGTTGAGCCTAGGGAGGTTATGTGCTTCCAAGAATTTGTCCATTTCCTCAGTGTTTTCCAGTTTATGTGCATAGAGGTTTTTATAATAATCAGAGATGATGTATTTTATTTCTCTGGTAATATCTCTCTTTTCACTTTTGATTGAGCTTACTAGGGTTCTTTATTAATCTTCTGTTTAATTCTTTTGTTATCAATTTTATTTAGTTCTGCTCTGACCTTAGTTATTTTTCTTCTACTGGCATTGGAATTGATTTGCTCTACCTTATCTAATTTATTGAGATGATTTATTAGATTATTAATTTCTGATATTTCTGTTTTTTTTGATGTAGGCATTTAAGGCATTTTCCTTTTAAGATTGCTGTTGCTCAATCTCACAAATTTTGATAACTGTGTCTTCTTTGTCATTTAGTTTGAAGAATCTTATGATTTAATCTTAATTTCCTCCTTGACCCAATAACTTTTCAGCAATAGGTTAATTCTCATGACTTAATGTATAATTCAGTGTTTCTGTTGAAGTTGGTTTCCAATTTTATTCCACTGTAGTATGAGACATTATGTGGTATAATTTCTATTTTCTTTTTTAAATTTGTTGAGAAGCTGAGAATCAAATCAAAGTCTCAATATCTTTCAAAATAGCAACAAAAATAATAAACTGCCTAGGAATGTATTTTACCAAGGAGGTAAAAGACCTCTGTAGGGAAAACTATGAGTTACTAAGGAAAGAAATTGCAGAGAATGTAAACAAACAGAAAAATATATCATGCTCATGGATCAGCAAAATCATTGTTGCTAAAATGTCTGTACTACCCAAAGTGTTCTACAGATTCAATGCAGTCCTCATTGAAATGCCAGCATCACTTTGTGCAGACCTCAAAATAATAATTCTAGATTTTGTATGGAACCAGAAAAGAGACCAAATAGCCAAGGCAATCTTAGGCAAAAATGACAAATCAGGAGGCATCACTCTACCAGACTTCAAGCTATAACACAAGGTTATAGTAACAAAAGCAGCATGGTATTGGTACAAAAATAGAAGCATAGGTCAATAGAACAATCAAGCAACAGCAAAAGTTAACAAATGAGACCTGATTAAATTCAAAAGCTTCCATATAATCAAGAAAACTATCAGTAGTGTGAATAAACAATTTATAGAGTGGGAGAAAATACTTGCATGCTACACATCTGACAAAGAATTGGTAGCCAGAATCTGTAAAGAAGTCAAACAAATCAGCAAGAAAGAAAATCTAACAACTCCATAAAAAAGAGGGTAAAAGAAAGGAAAAGAAAATTATCCAGTGAAGATAAACTAATGGCCAATAAACATAAGAAAAAATGCTCAACATTTTTAAGCATCAGGGAAATGTAAATCAAAACCACCATGAAGTATCACCTAATTCCACTGAGAATGGCTTTCATGAAAAAAATCTCAAACACTGCATGGATGCTGTGAGAAAGGAACTCTATGCACTGTCTGAGGGATTGAAAACTAGTATAATCTCTATGGAAAATTGTATGGAAATATCTCAAAGAATTAAATGTAGACCTACCATTAGACTCAGCAATCCCACTATTTACCCTAAGGAAAAAGAATGACATTTTATCAAAAAGACATGTGCATTTATGTTTATTGTAACATAAATCACAACTGCAAAGCTGTGGAATCAATACAAGTGCTCATCATTACACAAGTGGATTAGTAAAATGTAGTACGTATACACCATGAAGTACTATTCAGCCATTAAATATATGGTGAACCTAATTTGTTTTATAATAAGCTGGACAGAACTGGAGGCCATTCCATTCTGCTAAGTAAAGTATCACAAGAATGGAAAAACAGATGCCACATATATTTACTATTAAACTGGAACTAATTGTTCACCACCCATGCATACATTTGGTAGTAAAACTCAGCAGAAAGAAAGCAGGTG